GAATGATGCTACTTGTAGAAATTAATGTTTGGGATGATAAATTTTGTTTTGGTAGCCAAGGGCACAAGATCTCCATTGTCCAAGCCCCCATGTTCTGTAGAAATGTTATCTAAAACCACACTTATAATTTTAGGTCCTTCAAAGCCTGGAGCTCAATAAATAAAAGCATCTCTATCCACATCTAGGGGGGTAAAACAGCCAACATGGTTGGATGGAGTCTTGTGAAACCTGTGTTGGTACTCTGTGCCACTGTCAGCTTCATTTTCTTCAACCCACATTTGTTTTGAAAACCTGAGATTTGTAATTGCTTCTTGACTTGACTTTTCTGGCTCAGTCCTTTCTCTCCCCTGCAGTTTTTAGCTGGATATAAAATGGAAATTGAAGAAGCTTTGCAAAGTACAGAGTGCCATGGGGCCATCAGTTTCTATTAATAGTATGCAATTTGCTTATATTTATAACCTATTTCTAATGTCTAGAAAAATAGTATAATGAGTTGGGATGGCTTTTAAATAAGATTGTTCTTTCAAAATGAGCGATTATTAAAATAGCGAGTCATCTCTGAGACTGATGGCAGTCAGAAAGGACATAAAATGGTGGATTTATTTTTTAGTGCTGATCATACAATATTTTTTAATATTTTTTATTTTTAAATAAATTTATACATTCACTTGTATCCCAGATGTAGTCCTCTCCCTCTTTCCCTCCCAATCTTCCCCTCCCTCTCTCATCTCCTCCCTGCTCCCTTCTGAGTCCACTGAGAGGGGATGTCCTCCTTTCCTTCCTTCTGGTCCTAGCTTATCAGGTATCTTCAGGATGGTTGCAATGTCCTTATCTGTGGAGGAGCAAGGTTGCTCCTCCCTCGGGATGGGGGGAGGGGAAATTCAATGAGCCAGACATTAAGAAACAATTGTCAGAAATAATTCCTGTCCCTCTTACTAGGGAACCCACTTGGATACTGAGCTACCATGGGCTATGTCTGAGCAGGGATTATATGTTATTTCCATGCATGGTCCTTGGTTGGAAAAACAGTCTCAAAGAAGACCCCTGTGCCCAAATATATTTGGACCTTATGGGGCTCCTGTCCCCTCTAGCTCATACTAACTCCGCTTCCTTCATATGATTCCCTACATTCTGCTGAAGTCTTGGTTATGGGTCTCAGCATCTGCTTTGATACACTGCTAGGTAGAGTCTTTCGGTGCATTTTATGATAGGCTACTGCCCTGTTACTTGTTTTCTCCTACTTCCACTGTCCATCTCCTTTGTCTTTCTAGGTGAGGATTAATCATCTTACCCCTGGTCCTCTTTCTTGTTTATCTTCTTTAGGTGTACATATTTTAGTATGTTCATCCTATCTCATGGGTCTAGTACCCACTTATAAGTGAGTACACCCATCAGAATAGCTAAGATCAAAAACTCAAGAGACAACGCATGCTTGAGAGGTTGTGGAGAAAGGGGAACCCTCCTTCATTGCTGGTGGGAATGTAAACTTGTACAAACATTATGGAAATCAATCTGGCGCTTTATCAGATAATCAGGTATACTGCTACCTCAAGATCCACCTATACCACTCCTAGGTATACCACTCATATATCCAAAAGATGTTCAAGTACACAACAAGGACATTTGCTCAACCATGTTTGTAGCAGTTTTATTCATAATAGCCAGAACCTGGAAACAACCCAGATGTCTATCAACGGAGGAATGGGTACAGAAATTGTGGTACTTTTACACAATGTAATACTATTCAGCAATTAAAAACAAGGTAATCATGAATTTTGCAGGCAAATGGCAGGATCTAGAAAAAAATCATCCTGAGTGAGATATCCTAGGAGCAGAAAATGGTGGATTTTTAAAGTTAATGATCGGAGGCCATAAAAAACGAGCAAAGGGCTAGAAGAATGGCTCAGCAGTTAGAAGCACTCTCGTTTTTCAGAGGACCGACGTTTTTTTCCAGCATTCATTTGGGCCAACTCACAATCTTCTGTCACTTTAGCTCAAGGAGGTGTAACAACTTTGACCTCCCTGTCACCTGTATTTAACACACACACACACACACACACACACACACACACACACAATTGAAAATGAAATAAATATTTTTAAAAATGAGTAAACCCACTCAAACGTGAACACGCATAAACTAACACACACATGCACACTCTCACACGGGCTTGCACACACCCACACAACTGAAAATCAAATAAATATTTTAAAAAATGACAAAAGTCAGGCCTCAAAGTAGCATTCGGAGAAACTAACACCCTTATCTGGCTAGTCAGAAGAGGAAAACTACCAAGATTAAGTAGGAACTGTCTTGGAGTGAGAGGGCACACTGGTGATTATATTTATCATGTGGATTAAAAAGAATACTGCGATGCTACAGCCGTTAATTTAAGCTTGTGCCCGCTAATGCTGAAACTGTTTTTTAAAACACAAAACTGAATGCTAAACCCAATCATTCAACCGAGTTTTCTTTTTCAGATTTCATTAAGCAATTGTCCTTTGTGTATTAATGACATTTAAGTTGCGTTATTTTTTCAATGTCTACTCCAGTTGATAGCTCTCAATAAGAAAGAGTTGTTTTCATGGTGTCTCTATGTTAATAAATAGCTTCATTTCTAGAATTAGATATCTGAACTCCAAATTTGCATTGTCTTTAATCTGATGGGGCCAAACTGTGTCTCCTGCTCTCTGATCTTTGGCTAACAGAATTTGTATTGCTGTCACATGGAAGCAGCAGCAGCCCACGGTGCAGTGAATATTCTCCAGTAGATTTGTGAAAAACAGGTTAAGAATTCCTCTCTAAATAAGACTTGCAACATGGATGTTTATGAGGGACTTGAGGAGACGAACGTTCCATAAAGTTGGTAGGTTGGTTGAAATCCTAACAGACATGCCAGATATTTCAAATAATGAAAAAGAAAATGAAGCAGGTAGATGGTATGACAAATATTATTTTATTAGGAGTCCAGTGACAACTTGATCAATAAGGATGGAGACACCAATATTTTATTGACAGAGTTAGCTTAGGTAAAAGGAATTCTCCAGGAAAGCTATGTGCTTGTGTCTGTAACAAAACAGGAAGTGGCATCATGACTTTATACCAGAGTAGCTGCCTATCCATGCACTGAGGCTTTGTGCATGGCTGAGAAGGAAAATGAGGCTTGAGCAGCAAAGCTGAGATGATTGTTTCTAAGCCTTTTAAGCATCTTTTCTTTCTTTTTCTCCATTTGACATCTTGAGTTCTCCAGCTGCCCAGTTTGAGCAGAAATGCTGTGATGGAAGTAGTCTCCAAGCCCAGCTGTGCTTCTGATAATTGCTAAACAGTTCCCAACCCCCCCTCTACTTCACTGCCCTGTTTTCTTCACTTATCTTTAATCAATATGTATGTTGACTAAAAACCCACATAGAGATACATAGTGGACATTCAACAATGTCCAGTGTCAGCACTTCCACTTAATAGGACAGAAGTCAACATCTCACTTATTTGAAACAAATCTAAAAATAAAAATTAAGATAATAAGAGCAGGAAAATTCATGAAATTGGTGGGATAGGGGCTTTGTTTTTTCTGAGAGCTTCGTAAGACAATAACCTAACTAGTCTCATTACTCAGTTTTTCTTACTCATGCAGTCTTCAGAGACTGACAGAGTGCCAACACACCAAACACATTTCCTCATGACTGGAGTTCTTCCTTGATCCTCATCATCTTAGACCTAACCTTTAACTTAAATGACGTGAAGCTCCCTCGGGTCGTGTCTAGCCTTAGCTCCTACTGCTAGGACTCATACCTTCTTCAACTGGTCAATTCTGCTCAGATTTTAATGCACACAGTTCTCCAGGCCTTGTCACACACTGTGTCTTTTAAATGTGCCTTTTCCTCATTATTTTATGACTCATTTGACCTTCTTCTCTCCTCTAATCCTGGATCTAACTGTCACACTCAAGTCAATAAATTATATTTGACTTTACTCACAAGTCCATTAGGCATTTATCTTTAAGATTAGAAAATAATGTTTCTGGAAGGTAGGTGCAGCTTGGTAGCTCATGAGGTTGTATGATTCTTAGGTTGATGTTTTTCTTTTGTTTATTTTAAAATAATAATAATTATTATAATTACATAATAATAATAATAATAATTTACTTTACATCCCAATTGGAGTTTCCACTCCCTTCTCTCTCCTAGTCACCCCTTCGCACTTGCTCACCCCTTATGCCCCCTTCCTTTCTCCTCAGAGAAGGGGAGACCTTCTCTGGTATACCTTGGCATTTCAAGTGGTTGTAGGACTGGACACATCTTTGTCTATAGAGGCTAGACAAAGCTGTCCAGTGAGGAGAACTGGATCCATAGGCAGGCAACAGAGTCAGAGGCAGCCCAGTGTAGGTGCACATAGATGTCAGTGAAGAAGATGACTCAACAAAGCCCTGTGCCAGGGAATTACCAACTTCGAGCATCTGCCACACCAGGCACATGCTCCTGTCCCTTGCACCTTTGCTCTTGGTATGTTGTGCTTTTCCCTGTGCTCTGTTACATTTCCTTATTTTAAATTGGTTTGAGTTGAATGATTCATACTTATGGGAAGAAGAAAAACACCCTTAAAGTGCTCTTGAGTCTGAAAAACAATGGAATAAATAAGGAGTAGATGCGAAAAGGGATTGTTTTGAGAATTCAGGACAACACCTACAATACAGCAGATCTTTAGCACAAGTATTCAACAGAAACACACAAACTAATGAAAATTCAGAATACATGTCATTATCCCAAATTATTTTTTTTCTTCTGTTTTAAAATAGATAGTTCTTCATGTGTAATGTATTTGGGGAAGCTGTGTATTTGTTAAACCTAGTTTTTTTTATAGTGATCTTCAGTTTAGCTAAAATTTTGATTTTTAACATATATGCCATCTATTAATTCTGACAAGCTTATTCAATTTAATGAGCTCAAATAAAAATATGATTTTCAACCCTCCACTTCCAGCACAGATGTCCCCCACCATTGCCATGCCCAAAAGAAAGGTGGAAGGGGATGCTACAGCAGATAAAGCCAAGCTGAAGGACGAGTCACAGAGACGATCTGCAAGATTGTCTGCTAGACCTACACCTCCAAAGCCACAACCCAAGCCTAAAAAGGCCCCTGCAAAGAAGGGAGAGAAGGTACCCAAGGGGCAGAAGGGGAAAGCTGCTGCTAGCAAGGACGCAAACGTTCCTGAGGAAAATGGAAAGGCAAAAACGGACCAGGCACACAAAGCTGAATATGCTGGAGATGCCAAGTGATGGGTGCATTTTTGATAACTCTGCACTTCTGGTGACTGTACAGTTTGAAATACTGTTTTTTGTGAAGTTTTAAAAATTGCAGAATTTGGTTTTACTTCTTTTTTTTTTTAAGCTATGTTTCTAGCACACGTTGTATGGGAGAAAGAAAACTAACAAATGTCTCCCAAGCTGGATTGATGATGGAAAACATTTTTCCCTGATAATTTTGAAAGATCCTGTCTGCTCTCAGAAGGGACGTTGCAGTGTTGACATATGTGGTCACCATGGCACAAAATGCCTTGTGGTATGGGAAAACTAAATTCATGTTTTTATCTCCTCCCCCTGTACATCAACATGGACTTAACCACCTTAAAACCAGAGACCTAACAGAACAGGAGTCTACCATTGAGGGCCTCTGAAACTCTACCAAGCAGTGTATCGAAGCAGATGCTGAGACTCATAATCAAATTTTGTGCAGAGTACAGGGAATCATATATAAGAAGAGGTAGTTAGTAAGACCTGGAGAGTACAGGAGCTCCACAAGGAGAGCAACAGAACCAAAATATCTGGGCCCAGGGGTCTCTTCTGAGACTGATACTCCAACCAAGGACCATTCATAGAGATAACCTAGAACCCCTGCTCAGATGTAGCCCATGGCAGCTCAGTATCCAAGTGGGTTCCCTAGTAAGGGGAAGAGGGACTGTCTCTGACATGAACTCAGTGGCTGGCTCTTTGACCACTCACCTTGAGGGAGGAACAGCCTTTCCAGGACACAGAAGAGGACACTGGAGCCAGTCCTGATGAGACCGGATAAGCTAGGGTCGGATGGAAGGGGAGTCAGACCTCCCCTATTGCTGGACTTGGAGAAGGGCATGGGAGAAGATGAGAGAGGGAGGGTAGGAGTAGAAAGGAATGAAGAGGGGGCTACTGCTGGGGTGCACAGTGAATAAAATGTAAGTCACGTAAAAAATTAATTAAAAAATAAATTCCTTTATTGAAAAAATAAAATAAAACCAGGGACCTATTGGAACCTGACCCCCAAAATTGGTTTTCCAGCCTATTGGGTAATCTGGACTTTACAGTGACAGACATCATTGAGTGTCCTCAGAAGAGTAGTGGTTCCTTTTACAAAAGATTGTGGATCTTCAGACTGATAATTCTGCCATTTTCATTTCATTTCCTGAAAGTCAGGTTTGGCTTGTGAAAAGTTGTTAAAAAATATCCTTAATGTGAAATGTCAAGTCTCACTCTCAGCTACTTCCCCTTTTTCAAAGCATTGAATGAAGACTTCGTTAGGTTTTATAGTGGTTTTCTGATTTTGATAGTCTATACAAGTAGGGAGTTTGGAAGTTCTTGTATTCTGTTAATGATTGTCTGCCCATGTCCTGCCTGAAATACCATGATTGTTTTGGGAAAGTATCTTTAATAAAGCTGAATATGTTAGGCTTGGAAAGATACAATTTCAAACCTAGAATGCATATGAGATATTAGGATATTCATGAAATCTTATTATGAGCTATATTCCAGGAAGATCTCAGAAATCAACATAAACAACATAAAAATTCCAAAGCATTTCCCCCAATAGAAAAAAGAAGTAAATCAGAAGCTACACAGAAGGAAATGGATGACACTAATGCCTACATTGATTGATAATAAATAATATGAAGGAGACTTGCATGGAATTTTTCAACAACCTCCTTTTCTCTTTTGTTGAAAATAGCATTTTTCTCTAAAATAGTTTATCCTGATCGCAATTTCCTCTCCCCCTACTTTTTCCAGTTCCTCCCTGCCTCACCATCAGGATGTAACCCATTTCTGTCCCTCAATAGGAAAAGAAACAAGCAAACAAAGGGCTCCTAAGGGATAATAGTAAAGCAAAATATAATATAACAATATAAAGCACAATCTAATATATCAGAATAGGAGCAAATCAAGCAAGCAAGCAAAAAGAGAAAAGAGAAAAACCCAAGAAAGGGCACATGAAACAGGTGTAAACCCAGAGATCCACTCTTTCACACACTCAGGAATCCCATAAAAACATTAAACTTAAAGTCACAATGTATAAGCAAAGGATCTGTAGCGTAAAAGAGAAAAAGTTATATAAAATAAAATGAAATAAAGTTTTGAGATGACATTATGAGACAAGGAACTTCCAAAAATGACCTTAAGTTTGTTTTCTTTTGGCCATCTACTCCTAGGCATGCAGACAGCGTTAATAATATCAGTTGCCTAGAGAAAGGGCATAAAGGAAGAAGAGGGAGAGTGGCTGAGACTGGGAGGACAGGAGGGAGGGGGCTCAGCAGAAATACAAAGTGAATAAATAGTAATAAATAAATATATACATAAAATTAAATTTTAAAAAGAGTATTTTGTTTCCCTAGTGAGACTCTCTTGGGAAGATTATTTTTTGTTTGCAAGTGGTCATCAGTTGGAGATAGCTTTTGGGTTAAGTATGGAGCATGCTTCCACTGCTCCTTCCAGCTCTAGGACCCCATCTGGTGGAGACCTGTGCAGGGCCTGTGCATGCTGCCTCTCTCTCTGAGAGTCTGTTTGTGTTTTGATCATGTTGATTTAGAGAGCTTTGTTTTCTTGGTGTTCTTAACACCCTCTACTTCTCATACTCTTTTGACCTTCTCTTCCCTTGGGTTCTCTGAGCTCTGGCGGGGGGGGGGGATTTGGTTGAGACAAATCATTTAGGTCTGAGTGTTCTAAGGTATCTCATTCTCAGTATAATGTTTGGCTACAGATCACTGTATTTATTCTCTTCTGCAGAAGGAATCTTCTCTGATAATGGCTGAGCAAGCACTGATCTATGAGTATAGCACAATATCATTAGGAGTTACTATATTGCTTATTTATTTGTTTATAGAACAATAACATTTGGTTTTATCCTGGTCACTGAGGTATCTAGTCTCAGGATCTTTGTCTCCCAAGCAGTGCCAGGAATGGGTTTCATCTCCTGACGTGGTCCTTCAGTCAATCAGGTTGGTTGGTTATTTCTGTGTGCTCTATGTCACAATTGCCCTAGCCTATCTCACGGGCAGCACATCATTGTAGATAAAAGGTTTGTAGAGGGCATGCTGTTTATTTTTTCTCTTTTGGTATCTTGCAGAGTATCAAAGACTGGTGTGTGAATGCAGAAGTGGAGACTCTATATAAGTGTCAGCTTGTCTTCTCCATGCTCAATGACATATGCCACTGTTATCTTCAGCAGTGGAGTCTTCCCATCAGTTTGTGGCAAACAGCTTATAGTGTTGTTTACAGATTCCCATGGGACAACTTTGGCCAAAAAATCCATGCAACCCAACTCCAGTACTAAAAGCTTCATTAGGTGACAAGAGATGTCCAGTTGGGGCTCTGACCCCTCATTATTTGGAAATTTTACTTAGATTGCCTTCATACATCTGTATATTTTATGAAATTTCTACTGTATTAGTGACTACTACCCTCATGTGGTCCTTAATTTTAGCTCTCTCTTATATTCTCTCTTGTCCCTCTGCTGTTTTGTTCATATAATGGCATCCTTTGTGATGCAGAAGCTTTTCATTTTCATAGGTCTCATTTATTACTTGTTGATCTGTGTTAACAATCCCTTTTTCTTCCTGTACCAATGAGTTCAAGAAAGTTCCACTTTCTCTTCTATCATATTCATTGTATCTGGTATTACGTTGAGCTCTTTCATCCATTCGGAGTTGAATTTGAAAAGGGTGGTTAAGTATGGATCTATTTGAATTATTCTGCATTCAGGCATTTGGTGTGATCAGTGTGTCAATGATGTTTTTTGTTTTTCCAGTGTGTATCCCTGGCTTCCTTATCAAAATCAGATGTTCAGAGGTATGTGGATTTATGTCTGATTCTTCAATTCAATTCCATTATTCTTTATTATTTGGGATTGTTTGCGCTATCTTGGGATTTGTTGTTGTTTCCATATCAAGCTAAAAAATGCCCTGTCAAGTTCTGTGAAGATTTATGTTGGGAATTTGATAAGGACTGCATTGAATTTATAAATTGCTTTTGGTAGTATGGCCATTTCTACTATGTTAGTCCTGCAGATCAATGAACATAGGAGATTTTTCTATCTTCTAATATCTTCTTCAATTTCTTTCTTCAATATCTTAAGGTTTTTATTATTTAAGTCTTTCACTTGCTTGGGTTAGAGTTTTTGCAAGATGTTTTATATTATTTGAAGCTATAATGAAAGGTTTTATTTCAGGTTTTCTTTCTCTGTTCATTTGTCATCAGTATGTAGGAAGGCTACTGGTTTTTGTTAGTTAATTTTATATCTAGCTACTTTGATAAATGTATTTATTTTGGAGAATAATTTGAAGGCTGTTGTCATTAATAATTCTTTGTAAGTCTGGTAGACTTCTGTGTTAAAACTATCTGGTTGTAAGTTTTGGGGCCTTTTTATTTATTTGTTTAGTTGTTTTTTGTTTTGTTTTGTTTTTTGGTTGGTAAAATTCTAATTACTGCTTCTTTATTACTGGGCTAATTAGTCTGCTAAATTGTTTATTTGATCTTGATTTAATGTTGATAGTTGGTATGTATCAAAAATTATTTATTTCTTTTAGATTTTATAAGTTGGTGGAATATATGTTTTTAAAATATCTCCTTATGATTTTTCTCAATTTCTTCAGTATCTGTTGTTATGTTTCCCTTTTCATTTCTATATTTGTTATTTGGATCCACTCTCACCACTTTTAGTTAATTTGCATAAGGGTTTGTCAATGTTACCAAAACAAAAACCAAACTCTTTCATTTCATTATTTTTTGTATTTTTGTTTGTTTGATACTATTTTATTTATTTCAGCCCTCAGTTTGATTATTTCTTGACATCTATTTCTTTTGGATGTGACTTCTTCTTTTTCTTTCTTTCTTCTTTTCTTTCTTTCTTTTTTCTTTCTTTCTTCTTTCTTTCTTTCTTTCTTTCTTTCTTTCTTTCTTTCTTTCTTTC